CGAATGCATTGGCTACTGTTGGTTAACACTTGGAAGGATATCGATCAGTAACGACAGCAATGCACCCACGGTGTTCTGGGCTGAAGTTCTGCCGTTCGAAGACGACAATGGCGTATGTTTCAATATGTATCTTGCAAGCAAACATGATACCAGCACCCAGTGACAGTTGAAGTAATAGATTATAGTGAAGATTTGTTACAGATGACAATATCAGATGACAAGATGTATCATACGTGACGATATTAGAGATGAAAAGATGTATTATAGATGACAATGACAACATTATAGATGGCGCTAATTATCATTGCTGATAATTAGCGCCGTAACCTAGAAACGAAAAAAACCGAACTTCTAGGATTCCACAGCTTGCGCGACGATGATCATGATGACAATATCAGGCTCTGTCAATCTATTTTAAATTTTTAAATGATGTTATTAGCAGTTAATCATTCTTCATTTTCATGCTTTTATAGAGCGGCTGGGGTGAGGTGCTCTTCTCTCTGACTTATTTATCTAAAGCACAAAGACTGACGGTTAATATGTTCAAAGCACGAAACCTACGGATTGAATCAATTGAAGGACAACCAGGTGAGTTGTTTAAGACGGTTTGCACTTGACCTGCGAAAATAACAAATAATATCTGGTATTGCTTTTAATCAGTATATGCTGTGTGATTTCGAAAAATACTTGCAATAATGAAATCACTGATGAAAAAAGCAATAATGATAAGCTCGAGTCATTGTCGCTGAATCCATAAAAAATAATAATACTTCACTCATCCAAGTTTACAGCCATAGCTGTGAAAGTGAGTTTGTTGGGTAATGACGAAAAACGAATAAAAAAGAAGAAAACATCGACAAAAAAGAATACGAGAAATCCGCAATTCAATGAGCCATTGACTTTTGGTATCGCAAAGAGTTCACTGTGCGATATTATTCTCGAAATTGAGGTAGAGGTTCATTTGCGTTCAAAAAGCTTCTTTTTTTTCGCACATTTCATATGTTGCATAATTCAGCCGATCAATTTTTACGGGTTCTTTTCCTAATACTTAACGCGTTAAGCATTCATTACTGCATTTTTCAATAACGAACAAGAAACACAATTCTCACTGAACTGTTCAAAATGCTTCGACTGCAGTCACGTTTTCAGTTTATTTTATACTCAATCTCAGCTCCTGGTAACTATCGCGAAAAAGAAAACTTCCATGCACCGAAATTTCTACTGCTACCATACTTTCAAAAAAACATCCTCATACTCGATTACATATGAGACATGAATGATTCCTTGATCAGCGACAGTAGTTATATTGTAAAACCACCATCATTTCAGGTAGTGCATGAATACGGTACGTTTGGAATGGGCTGCAAGGTGCTCGGTAAAATGGAATTGCCATTACATAAATGCAAAGAGCTTTGGCGTGCGATCATTCGCGAAGAAAAGTCTCAAGCGCGTTGGTATAGTCTAGACGAAACATGACCGCTGAACAATTGTTTAACGTTCCCTTGAAGTGTTTTGAATTGATTTTATGGGAATTCTCATCCATTGAGCTGCTTTCGGCCAATCATCTATATTCATCATGAAATAACGAAATGTTCATTTCAAACCTATTGCTGTTTATCTATCGTATGCATTCAATCGGTTCACATGCTAAGTTCTTGTCCTGTTTATCACACTGATTATTGTTTTGAATTTAAGTACTGTACAACTGAAACTGTGGACATAATTCCATCTCAAATGAACAATTACGTAATTCAATCCCAAATCTTTCGGATTTTGAAGCAGTTGATACTTAGAATCGCTTTAGTTTCTTCACTGTTTTAGTATCAACGATCGACTTCCTCACCAGTAATCAGGAATCTGTGCTTTCTCGAACATGTCACTGTTTGCAAACGGTCTTAGAAATGTATTTTTTTACTTCAGCACTCAAAATTCGCATAAATAATTATCACTTAATTTTCGTCATCGCGACTGTTGTATTCACTGACAACTGAAAGAGTCCAATTCGAACTGTAACAGCTAGCAATATGTGTAATGCTAGAAATTCATGTTTGCATTAACTGAAAACGCTCTATTTACAAAAAACAGGTATATTTTCTCGCGATCTATTCTCATACATCAACACCACCCTATGGAACAATGCAGTTGATTGGAAAATTTTCAATTTTTGACCCGTGGCAGATTCAGAGTGTCGGCTCGCAAAATTCTTCAACACTAATGTTTACAAGGGGATAAACGAAGCGTTAAGCGAATCTAATCATCGATATTTCATCCGATTTCGAGCTTTAATCAATACAAAATTTTTATCAATTTTAATCAGTCAATACAAAGTTCGGTATAAGATAGCTCATCTAATCTATCTTACATATTAAACCTCACTGGACTCATACATTGATGCATTGAACTCATACAAACTTCAGCCTAATATATTGCGCTCACCAACTTGAACTTATTCTTTTGCACGGGACAGAGGGGATTTTATTGATCAGTTGCACAATTTCGAATTGAATGAGTAATACTCGGACTATTCAAAATGGATTTGGGATAGAATTACTTCTAAGCATTTGAAATTTCATTCCATTTCAATAATGCACCTTAAATTGTTCATTGTTGCTGCAGTCGATCGGTTTTTTCTTGCTTTCATTTACACATTATTTTTACACGTTACATTTACGCATTATTATATTATATTGTAATATTTAGTACGATCTGCAGATGAAACCAAGTTTTTCCACAACTGAATTTCTCAATTCAACTTTTTTTCGAAAAATTTTTTTTCAAATTTTCAATACATATGACATGTACTTAGCTTTACCTTTTGACTATTGAATCGAAATGTCCCCATCCCTTCCTCATTCGACAAGCAGAACGACAAAATCGCTAATGAATTAAAAAGTAATGGAACTAGTCTTCGACGAGGTATCCTTTGCCTGCAGATTCGCTTCATGACGAGCTATGCTTTAATGTATGTGTTTCAGTAATAAATATAATACTAACCTGATATCCGTCTTAATCTAATGCGTATTGTATATGGTAAGATTATAAGTGTGGATGAGCTCAGTGCGCTTCAGTTATTCAGTGTAGTTATTGTCTATACATCGAGATTACTATCAGATGTTGAGAACAATTGTAAACGAAGCAGTTAAATGTTTTGCAAACAGTTTGATTGCGTTTCGTTCATTGACGATTAACTTTGATTACTTTTGTCTCAATTCCTTTCTCCTCTTGCTTCATATCCCATGCCATAAGATGTTGTTGATGATGCTGCAAGCGGGCTATGACTTCAAATTATTAACACTCAGTGATTTATTATAAGTCCTCTTCTTTATCCGTCCGTTCGTTTCGTTTACGATCTCAATCTGCCAAAGCTTTAATAATCCAGCCCATGGTCTATTCCATTCAATCAACAGCATGGACTTCTCAGGATCGTTTCACATAGAGGCAATAATTTGAAATCATCTCATCACGATGGTCGTTCTTCTGACAGAACATTTTTGAAAAGCTTTTCTCAATGATGTGGAACTTTCAATTCATTTTCAGACTTTTCAAGAAAACCGATTTCAGGAAAACTTTAATTGAATTCGTTTTTAATTTGCTTCAGAAATAAATGACACTTCCTT